ATTTGTGGGATACACTCCTCATTAACACACCTGTTAAAAATCAAGATGTCTCTAAAGTTGATCCCATGCAGGAAAAACTTGTTGAAGAGACAAATATGAGCGGGCTGTACTTCAGTCAGCAAGTATCTCTGCAGAACCGCCGCGCTTTCTTCACATAACCGATTTAGTTGCACACTTTTTAAGGTTTTACGGTGCAGGTTGTTGTTGCTCCGTCTCTAAAATGCTGATTTCTATTAAAGAGAAAAGTCACAAACGGGCTGGTTGTTCGTACTGGTTTACGAGACTCTTGGGAAGAGGAACGAGTTCATTGGAAGGAAGATGTTTCTCTGGCAAAGTTGTATCCAAAAAAGCATCTTTGCTGTGTTTTGTTTTGGTCTTTCGTCCAGCTGATGACATCAGGGCTTGAAGAATTTGGGAGGAGATGTTTGCATGAAGAATTTCTAAGGGAGTTTGTGGAATAAAAGCTGAAAGCCAGGGCTGCATTGTTGCAACATCACACAGTGCACGGATGCGGATCAGAGAAATCTCACAGGTGGTCAGAGGAGATGTCCTCTTTGCAGTCACAGTTAGAAACATTCGTAGTTCCAACGTGGTGGAAACCTCTCAGGTGGGAATGGGTTAGGTCACCAACCACTTTCCTGAATTTTGACATTTTTACATCTTTAATCCCTTTTTGTGTTGATCTTTCCAAACTTTTGGCAAATTGACTATATTATCCTCCTTTTTAGTGAGTTGAGTTTGAACCCTTTACCACCAGAGAGATGCTGCAGGAACGGTTTGATTGTTCCCAGTAACCGTCTGCAACGTCTCCCCCGGTCAGCTGGAGAGCAGCTCTACCAGTAAAGGTTTTGCATGAACGCTGGTGTTTGTTTCTCGTGCATGAGTAACCTTTATGTTGAAATGTTGTTGTTTGGCACACACACACACACACACACACACACACACACACACATCTGCAGCCGCTCAACCACAGAAAAATAGCAAAGTAAAAATAGGGAAACGTGGGCATGATAAGTGATGAATGAGAAATGTTTTCTGAAGAACTTCATTGTGATTCATCTTCAACATGAAATGAAAACAAGTTTAAATCCATCTCCGTGCATGTTGGTGTTTAAGTTAAATGATTGATTTTCCTGAATCATATGGATCAGTCAGGAAATTAATCCTCAAAATCCCGTTTACAGGTGAGAGGAACAGCTGATGGAAGTCAGATCTTCTCATGGATTCTCAGCCTTTTTTATCTATAAATTTGGTTTTAATCCTATTTCAGTGTCCTTTTACCATTTGTTTGTGTGGAAATGGACATTTTAAAACAAAGTACAGCTATAAATACACAATTTTATTATTCATTAAGTTTTCTAAAAAGTTTTTATTTTATACCTTTTTATTTTTCTTGTTGCTTTATTTTTTATGCTCACAAAATAAATAAAATAGGATCCTGAGACATTTGTTCATTAATGAAATAAAGACATTAAAACTTGTTAAATTTATTTTTTAAATTATTTAGTTTATTTTGGGTCTTTTGCAAAAATAATCAAATAAATCAGGCAGTTATTTCAGTTTAGTAACTAACTTTTTATTTAGCTCAAAATGTATTCCCTCTAAATATGAAATAAAAATGTTTTCAAAATTCAATTTAAATTCAGTTTTGGTTAAAATAATTAAAATAGAACTAAATATTTTAGCTCAGAAATGTATTTGTATAATAATTTAATTGAATAAAGTCATAAAATGTTTGTTTAAAAAATTAATTACATCAGTTTTCTTAAATTTATTTAATTTAAAGAAACAATAAAACAGAGAAAGATGAAAACAGTACTTGAAATTGATTGGATTTAGTTTTATTTTATTTTATTTGTTTTAAATAAATCAAGCTTTAGACACTCCCAGGCCTGTTTGTGCAGGTTTGTTGTTTTTAGGAACTATTCTGGCACATACCTGTGGAGATTTTATCTGTTTGAACAAGTTTATCTGGAGGTAAACTTGTTGATTTTGTTTTTAAAACTTAAAAAGATCTTTTATTCATGTGGTTTTTTAACTTTAAGTTCAGTGGGAATTAAAAACAAAAACAAAATACTCAAAACCTGCTTTACTTGTGAACATTTTACTTTTTTTGGTATCAGTTTTGCACAATAAAGCAGAATATTTATCTTGTTATAATCACATATTTTTTAATGTTGTTTAAGTTGATTAAGAAAATAAAAGCTGCTTAAGGCAGAAAACAGACTTTGTGCTCATTTGAGGTGGCAGAGCTGTTTTATTTGAGTGTTTTCCAGTCAGACTTGAGATTGCTGTCATCTCACTACTGATTCTGCATCAGCAGGCTCTGATAAAGTCCCCTCCGACACTTTTCTTGCCTTGTGGGACAGTTTTACTGCGCGTCACGTTCCCGTGTTCATCTCGAAAAAGAGATCAAACAGGAGACGCCGCGTTACGTCATCAGCTGCTGATTGGCTGCATGTTCTGGCTGTGTTGGTGATTTAAACTGAGAGGTGCGGAGATGATGATGATGATGATGATGATCCGCGCTGCAAAAGTCCCTTCTGTCACTTTAAATGGTTTTTCTCTTCAGAATAAACCCAGAACAACACCCACCTGTGTTCATTAGAGGTTTTTATTTCTTTTAGCTCCACATTTAGAGGTTTCAGGGATTATTTTAGACTAAAACATGCTTTCGTGTTCTTATAAAATAAAGCAAATTTCAAGCAGCAGGACTGTTTGTTGTTTGTTTGTTTATTTTGTGTCATTGGTGGTGATTTTAAAGACCCGACAGATGTTTCCTACAGCGCAGGGTTTGAGTTTTTAAGAATTATTCTCCTCCCTGAGTGTGAGTCGGACTGCGTTTTTAGTGAGGAAGGTGTTTTTTGAGAGAGAGAGAGAGAGAGAGAGAGAGAGAGAGAGAGAGAGAGAGAGAGAGAGAGAGAGAGAGAGAGAGAGAGAGAGAGAGAGAGAGAGAGAGAGAGAGAGAGAGAGAGAGAGAGAGAGAGAGAGAGAGAGAGAGAGAGAGAGGCGGGTGTGTATTCGGATGTGATAATTGAATGCTTCCGGGGACACGAGTGCGCTGTTGCTGCTTCTGATCCGTCTCAGAGGAGCGGCTGTCGTCACTACCTTAAAAAAAAGGAAACACGAAGCTTGTGTGTGCTGTTGTGCTGACCAATCAGAGCTTGCGGTGGGAACTGGGTCCTCGTTTCTCAAACCAAGTTCCAGTTATCAGCTCCATTTGAACAATTTCACCTAGAATCTGAAGAATGAGCTGTGGAAACATCTTTTTCATCCTCTTTCTTGCGGATGTTAATACGGTTTCTGTTGGAGATCATTTGAACATAATCCATTATTTCTTTTATTTATCTGCAAAAAACGTGAACATATTCTGTGGGTGACGCGTTGAACGTGCGTAATTGCGCATCTTGGAATATTTGGAACAGATTATTCTGTCGGATGTTTAAAGGGTCTGAATCGACTTTTTAAACCCTAAAGTTACATTTTCCTCGTAGAAACTAAATCTATGTTTCGTCTGTTTAAACCCTATATCCTAATAGTTGTCTTGTAATGTTGAAAGTGATGAAAAGTTGTGAAACCTTATTAAACGAGAAAATAATGATTTTCATTCGTTGTTTTCTTGTTTTTGATGCGCATCTGTTGTAAAGTAAGTTTTAACATTAGTTTAACTTGTTTTGTTTGGATTAATAATTATTTCATTAACAAGAGGTTTGTTTGTTTGTTTTTTACTGTTTTTAATTAAAAGAAAACATTAATTTGAACCAGGTCGCAACTTTTTTCCGTGTAGAGCAAAGAGTTTATAAAAACTTCAAGCCTTTAAGATGCAGATCAAGCCAGTGCGCGTCAGGTAGCAGCAACATCCCCTAGGAAGTCAGACTGACAGATGACCACGACAATGGAAGGAGATTCAGGGAGGAAGGTAAAGATGAAGTCTGCCCAGTAACAATCACACAGCGTCGGCTGAGAGCTGAGGAGCTATTGGCTATGCAAATAGACTCACAGGGAGGAGAAAAGAAGTTAGACTACTGGAGAAAAAAACTTTAAAGAGACATTTCCCCCACATGCATCCCTGTTTAGCCACCAAGTCGGGATGGAAATTACCAGCTCTAAGCTCCGAGGACACAACACTCCCTCAGTCTTCCCCTCATGCACTGATGTCTGCTTTCATTCAAGGTCCAGTCTTTGAAGCAGGCTAAGAATGGACCGGGGATTAACATATTTACCCATGCAGATTCTCTTTGTGACTGTACGCGCAGCTATATCATTTGGCAGTGATATTCCTTTTAATTATCACCTGCTTGTTTCTCCGTGTAAATGAAACTCTGGTGATATTGTTGGAGTGGGTTAACAGCTTCTGACTTTCAGCCTTGTGTCGTCGTCGTAGGAGAAGATAAAAACAAATAGCTGCATAAAATTTCCTAGAATATCTCACCACGAGCTGCGGCTGATGTAAAAAAAGTTACTTGAAGACCATCGGTGCGTGCGTGTGTTGTGCGTGTCATTGTGGGTGGGTGGGTTGATGCATGAGCTGCGTCCTATACGTACTTGCACCATCTCAATACATAAACGTGCAATGCTTAAACGTGTACGTGCACCGCATTCAGCGTGCAGCAGGTTCTGGTGGAGTCATGATGAGTTTGTTTTATTTTTATATGAAATGATGCATATTTATTTGAGACTGGAGAGATTCTAGATGCTTTGGTTTCTGGTAAATGTAATGTAACAATCAACAAAACGTTTAATAACAGTAAGCATGTTGTCTATATGCCAAATAATCCTAAAGCAGTACAGAGGTTCATCTTTTAATTTTGAGTTTCCCATCATTAATGCTTTATTTACCTTATAATAAACGTCTTTGGTCGCGTGGCTGTGCAGCTGCTTTAAAGCAAAGAGCTTTTTGAAACTAAGTTTTCTGAGGCTCACCAAGACATGCGTACGCAGGGGGACTGTGTTGCGTCTGGCTTAGAGCTAATGAAGTGAATTGCGTCAGTGGCGCATGCAGAGCAGGCTATAACGCACTAGGCGGATGAAGAGGCGCACTGTGGGGAGAGAGGAAAAAGTTCTCAACAAGGAGAGGCAGGACTTCTCTCGCGGAGCCCTGCAGTCTCACTTTTATGTCTCCAAAAGACTTTTCCTGCCACCTTTTTGCGTTTTTGCTCCGCAACTCTGCTTTTACTCTTCCGAGGGAGAAATCCGACTTTTTTACTTAAGCGACAGCGCCAGCAGCACCATGGAGCTGCTCTGCCTCGAAATGGACACGAACATTAGAGCTCGTCCCGACCCGAACCTCCTGTGCGATGACAGAGTCCTGCAGAGCTTGTTGACTATAGAGGAGAGGTTTCTACCCCAATTTTCTTATTTCAAATGTGTCCAGAGAGATATTCAGCCATTTATGAGGAGGATGGTCGCGACCTGGATGCTAGAGGTAGCTATAAACCCGAAACAGACGAGTCCTATCATGTCCGTGCTCTAACACATGTCTGTTTGCCTCGACCTACTCTTTAATGTTTGCACTTTTCCTCCAGTTTACCAGACGCGTGATCGGAGCCTTTTTGCGACTGCGTGTCTCTTAAGCTGCGTTTTCTACATTTCATTTTTAAACTCCAGTCCGGAGCACTGTCGGTTCCGAAACTGCCTTGTTTCTTATAGAAGTGACGCTCATAATGGCTTTTCTGTGCCCTGAGTGGTCTGTGCTGGAGGTGTTTGATAGTTCCTTGGATGTTGTTATTTTAGATAGCATGAATATTTCCATGCACACGTATGCATTCGCAAGGCTGCCTGCTCTCATTTCGCCATGTTGGTTTTTTACAGGAGCGCTCGTTGCGTTTTAGGAGCATTTATGGCGTCATAAACGCAATAACAGCGCTTGAACCCCGTCGGCAATGACAGAAGAGGGTCTTATGTGTCCGCTGGATGTAGAAATGAGGACAAAAAGCGTTGCAAACATTTTTTGTATCTGTTTGAAATGTCGGAAGGGGCGAGGGCCTGAGCTGAGCTCTTCCTCCCGTCCTCGTGACTTACGCAGGAATTAGGTTCATTTTTCCTGACTTACTTAAATATTTCCGACCGACGTCCACATGTGAAGATTCCCGACACCTTGATCTTTATTTTCATGTAAATATAATCTGAATACCACCGACTGGAGATTTTTTATTAATTTTTGAAATGATTATATCGGGTCGGCAGTGACGCACCTCGGATCAACCATTCGCGACTCGCGCAGGATTTTGACATTTTATTCCTATTTTTCCTGCACGGATCTGGATGGGAATTGTCGGTAATGATGTGGAAGAGCACCCTGAACATTATCGTGTGAAGAAATCGCGTCGGGATAATTTATTTGTATTTTTAAATATTTTATGAAAATATGACGACTGAAGAAAAGCTCGTTTCCGCGTGCTGCGCTGTCGGGGAGTTTTTTTGGCTGGGACTGATTGTGACTTGAATTCATTTCTTGGTGAATGAATTGCAGGAATGCAACCCTGTTGACGGTTTTTATCGGAGACCTTTTTCCACGCTTTCTAAAGAAATTGATTTCGAATTAATCTCCGATGTCGCAACCGGTTTGGGTTGGGCCAAGTTCTTGGCCGAGCCCCAACTATGTGTGTCACCAAAATTGTGCGATTATTCTTTTGTTTCGTTTCACCATAAAAGTTTTATGTACATTCAAAGTCCTAAAAATCAACAAGTCACGTGGCTGCAGACGCTCATCGCCGTTGCTTTGTCTGCTGTGTCTTTCTGCAGGTCTGCGAGGAGCAGAAGTGTGAAGAAGAAGTTTTTCCCTTGGCCATGAACTACTTGGACAGATTTTTAGCAATGGTACCCATCAAAAAGTGTAACCTGCAGCTGCTAGGAGCAGTCTGCATGTTTCTTGCATCCAAACTGAAAGAGACTCGTCCACTAACTGCAGAGAAGATTTGCATCTACACAGATAACTCCATTAGACCACAAGAGCTGCTGGTAAGCATACAGGGTTTTGTTGTGTGTTATTTATTTATTTACGCTCTAATCAACCCTCATCTCAAGCTTCATACGTTTATAATCTGCTGCTTAAAAACAATAAAATCTTGTTTTATTATTTCTATTTTCCTGTATCATACCTGCTCTTTATTTGGTTGTTTATGCTACAATAATCACATCCCAACACATATTTTGCATTTCACCTTCCAAGTTCTACTTTGGACCACATCTTCGTTCTGCATGCATGAGGGGGGAAAAGTGCTCCAGGACTGAGTTGTTCCTCAAAAGTTTTCCTTTACTGTACAAGACCCTCCTGGAGCTGCTGCTCCTGTCTAGCGGTCTCTATCGCCATCTAGCTACAGATATTTGCACAGAGCAACGAGGTCAACTGAACTGCAGCCAAAGCTCTGACTGTGTTCTTGTCATCCAGAGGAGAGAGAGGCAGACAGAAAATGTAAAATACCTTTCAGTTCTGTTCTCCTCCTAAAATAAGCATCGGCACACAGATTTATCCCGATGGGCTTTGAGGCTCGAGCGATGCTGCAGCGGAACGCTTTAGGTGATAATAAATGTGATGATTTTATCACATTTCTGAGGGAAATCTCCATTTCTTGGGGGTTCGGGTCTTTTTGGTCTGATTATTCTAGCGGTTTTAAGAGGGCACAACAATAATTAGCACAGTTTTAAATCTTGATAAGTATTTCCACCCAGCGCTGTGGTGCTACATAGACATTCCTGAGTAAATAGCCAATCCCACCCATGTTGTGAAAGAGGCTATGATGCAGACGAGGCTGATGGCTGCTCTGCTGCCCAGCTGGTGGCTCGACCCTCCGAGCTCGTGGCTGCATTAAACACCCCGACTAGCTGCTGACTGGTCTCCGATCACTTTGTGGAATGTTGTTATTGCTTGGGAATACGATGTCGGTCATAAATGTCTTCCCAAGAAAATTCCAGCCGGTGTAAAACAGTAAGAAATGTTCCGCTGAGTCTATCCAGGTCAGGATTTGTGTTCCGACTGAAGTCCTTGAAAAGGTTTCGCCGAGGCCTCTTCTGTGTTTCTGCATAAGGCAACGTTTTGGCTGACTTGCAGATACAGGAAACAGAGATCAGCTGCTCGGGGCACGTGATCGTTTTTTGGTTCTGATCTTTGGAAACAATTTCTTGTAAAGAGAACCACAGTTTTACAAAGAGGTGTGACCAAAGCAAGGCGAAAGCAGAAGGAAGTGGGTGCCTGCCTGCCTGCCTGCCACTCTGTCAGCATGTGTTGCAAAGTTCGTTAGACTGTTTCTGTACTGCAGGCTCCCATATTTCCTGCAGCGCTGGGGCTTTCTTTGTGATCAAGAGGCAACAAAGACGCAGAAAATCCATTCCTGCAGCTTCAAGTTGAACGTCTACTTTAAATCCAAGTTTTACTCGTGCTTTTGTTTCTATTTCTGCAAATAAAAGTATCACAATGTTGGTTTGTGTAAAAACCGATTCGAAGCTTAAAGGTTGGCAGTGGAGTCGGGAGCGGCCATGTTGGATTGTGAGGTGTAGTGAGCAGCTCTAGTCACAAGGCTGCAGTGCTGAATCAATCAGAGTTTCCCCCCAAATGAGTCGATAACTCCTCCAATAACCACCTCCGTTATAAGTGAAGGTCGTGAAGGTGCTCCAAACCTTTGTGCACCCATGGTGACGACGAATAAAAAGCTGCAAAAAGGCTCTTTTCGTGAGCCGAGGAACATAATCTCCCCAGATATGGTTTTGATCCTTTTCATAACACAAGTTTACGATAGAGGAGATAAATCTGGAGTTTTTTAAACACTTGCTGCTGATCTTGCTCAGCCAGTGCAGGCGTCCTATCCGTTTTCACTGCACACTCGCCGAGTGGAACCTCTGGTGGGCCTCTTTAGGAAAGTCCCTAGATGCCAGACATGCAGACGGGAGGGAGACAGTGTTGTGAGGTCACCTGGGTTGGTGGCGCTGCTGGCGTTCCTCTGCTCCAGGCTGGGCCAAGCACGGAGCGACCTAAAAGCAACAACGCTGTACCGCTGGCTCTCACCAACCTCGTGTTGCAGCTCGGCATAATCTGCCTAAAACATAATGAACTTTATGTGATTTTTCTTTTTTTTTCTTAGTTATTTATTGCATCTCTTTGCTCAACCCCTTCAGGATTGGGAACTGGTGGTTTTGGGGAAATTGAAGTGGAACTTGGCAGCAGTAACACCAAACGACTTCATCGAGCACATTGTGAGGAGGCTGCCGCTGCCCGAGGATAAGCTGGCACTTATACGGAAACACGTCCAGACCTTCATCGCCCTCTGTGCGACAGGTAGGACACGACACAAGCGACCGCCCCGTGTTACTAACAGCTGTCTGTCTGAATGAGACGTGATGCTTAAGTGGACAAACTGCACCAAACAGAACCAAATGTTGTGATGTCATCTTCGTTTTTCCCTTTCTGATGCTGCGAGCGACAGCGATCACTGAAACTCTGCCAAGTCAAACCAGGCAAGCGATAACGGCTTGCTTCAACATACTTTCTCATGTTGCAGAATATCTTTATCTGTGCATTCTTCTCTATCAGCTCTCCTCTCAGCAACATGCTGCAACCGCTCTGCTCGGAGATGCGCGCAGGGCCAGTCACGACTAGCACTTCCTTCAGTTATTCCCACCGATGGGAAAGTATTTCCAGTGAGAGCGTTTTAGCTTCAGACTCGTCAACCTGGCGTCCATCACCTGTCTTCTCCCAGGCTGGTATGTGGTCGCGTTCTGGAGGGGTATCGTCGCTTCCAGAGCATCCGGTGTCGCTTCAAAGCAGGTTTGCTCCGGTTGAAAGGCATTCCCATGTTGCACACTATTGAAAGGAGAAATGGGCAAGGTTAGAGGCAGGCGGGCCCATTGTCTTATTGTCTCTCTGCTCTTGAGATGAGTTATTCCCTCCAGATCAAAAATCCAACCAGCAAGGGGAGGAAGGGGGCGCCTCTAACACCATCTGAAGGGATTCTGAGGTTACGGTGGAGAGGATGCAGGGGAGTTATGGAAATCCAGAGGAGTTTATTGTTTTTTGTTCGTGTTTTCACATCTCTCCACCTAACCGCCTGCCTTTCCTGCTTCTCACCACCCAGCTTCTCAAGCCTCCCCGCCCTACAGCTGGAGGACATGATAGCTTTCCCATGTTGAGATTCTCAGTAGGACACTTTTTGCGTCACCCCCGGCTCAGAGAAGACAAGACTAACAAGCAAATGGCACTGAAAATAGTTTTTTTTTTAATTCTTAGGTACTTTTATACAAATTTCCTTTTAAGCTGGGTGAAACTAAGAATTGCCGCTGTTTACAGACCGCTCTACGACTGGAGTCATAATCGTGCCGTTTGGCAGTCCTTTCACTTTCTTCGTGACCTCCTCCAGGAGTGGCCCCATTTTTTTTTTGTAAGCTTGAAACAGGAATGTTCGCTGCCCCCCCACCCCCACCCCACCCCCATGGGAAGCAGCTCCTTGTGCTGCCATCATTCAGAGGAGTGTGGTTATGTAGATGCACCGACACGGGGAAGGGAAAGGGACATTCACCATCACGTATGGATTTCTTTTCAGTATTTTTGGGCAAACAAACATTTCTATTTGTCGGACTTTTGCCCTTTAGAGCAGGTGATCAGTATGTGGAATAATCAAACTATAAAAGACTCGGCCCGTACCTTGTTCCTTCAGTCGGGCAGTGAACGTAAACGTAAGATTCCTGGAAGTTACGCTCTTATCCAAATGTATGAAGAGGGAGAGCGAGGCTGTGGAGATAGCCCCGGGTCAGCGCCCGGTCCATTTATCTGTTCACCTCAGACTTGTTTCCAGGCAAACAGAATGTGAGGGCAAAACAGTGAGCGAGTCAACAATTTGGTGCATCTAAAGATCTCTGGGAATTTGAAACCCCATTTGTGGGTCTTTCCCAGCCATAAATCTTGGGAGTTATCTGGTGAGAATGCTCCTTGAGACATCCTCCGAGCAGAGTTGAGAAGGTGAAGACGGAGCTGGAGGAGGAGGTCTCTCAGGAGTATTTACGTGTGAAAAGGGTCAACAACAGATCACCTGTGGTCTTCCCGTTTCGTGTATTCTCATTCCGCCTAACCGCAACACCTGCTGAACGTGTGTACTGAGAAAAAGACGCCATAAAAGCACGGCTTTCTGTTTTTAGGGGAACAAGTGAGAGGATGGAGAATACGGGCGCTCGTTCCTCGTCTCTTTTGATGGAACAGTTCCGTTCGGGCCTCTCGGTGGGATTTTGTCAGGTGGCGCGGGCTGGCTCTGTATTAATTAATAACATTGGTTGGCCCATTCAGGACTATGCAAATGGACTTTGCTAGAGATCGAGAGAAAAGAGACAAAAGGCCTGGCCTTTGCATTTCATATGCAGAGCCATGTGAGGGTCAGCGCCGCAGGGCCACTTGATAGGAAACACCAGCGTTTCCCTCAGGCACGCCGCCAGATAATAGCCCAGAAACAAGCTCATTAAGGGAGATTATGAACCTCCATTCCTGCACACACACACCAAGCACTCAGAGCTTCCTCTTCCATTCTTATTCAGTTGAGCTAAAGTGGGAGAATGGATGGGGGGCATGGGGTAGACAGATGCACCCCAACCTGTCTGCGTGTGTTATTGAGCTCCGTCTTCTTGCCATATTGGCAGGATTATGGTGCATTAAACACAGGACCCAATAGCCCTCCCAGGAATGGTGTGCCTGGATTTGTGGCAGTGGTCAAAGAAGTTGATCAAAAGAACTTTTTGGACCGGAGCCAACGGTGATGCCCAGAAACGACTCAGTTGTGCTGAAGGACTTAATGAAGACTTTGCTACAAGTTAGGATCTTAATACTGACGGATCTTAGTAACTGATTACTTCTTTTATCCTGGAATACTGCTTGATTATTTATTCCTGGTATGTGGACGTGCCGCTGAACTATGTGAGAAGTAACTTGATCATTAACTGGTTAGCTTTCCTCCGACAAACTAATGATTCACCAGCTAACAAACATCAATTCTACGTGGGTTCACTTTCTCTTTGGGACTGTTTAAAGCAGCGCGCTGGATGTGGTTTAAGTTTCCTGCAGTGGTTCCCTAGCGCAGTACAGAAAATGTCAACTGTTCAGTTTGAAACGATTCATTATTATAACATGACCAAAAATGTAGAAATGAGTCTTTCTCGCTTCTAAAAGGAGGCATCAGGGGTTGTCCTGGATCATCTGGTGCCGTCAGATTAGGAATAGACCGGTTGGATTAGGGGGATGGGGTCTCTTGAGGGTGCTTTTGCTTACCCGTAGATACGGTCAGACACTATCTGGGTGATTCCTGTGGAGCTTGGAGGCCAGATAAACAACCCTGACGCTTTGTTGTGTTCATTAAGCTTTTAAACACTATGTGGGGTCCAAACCTTGCTCTGCCTGCACGAGGGCTCAGTGCTACACCTGATTGGTGCAGCCATCTTCAAAAGAAGTTGTCAGTTTCTCTGCTCCAGAGGCAGGAGATCCCCTGTAGGAGGCTGCTGCTTGAAGAATCCCCCCCGAGCTCAACTCTGCATTCAGGAGATGGATGATTCATTTCAGATGTGGTCAATAAAAAAGGTTTTACTGCTGTTTGTTTACATAAAAGTCCATTCAAGTGTGATGAGTCAGAGCCATAACAAATTAGTCACCTCCTCCGACAAATTATCATTTCTCCTCGCGCTCCAGTGATGTAAGGAGTCACATCCTGCTGGCTGGAGTGGCGACGCAGGAAACGGGAGGAACTGTGAGAGCATGTGCTAAAAATGTGGGACTTTATGGTGAATCATCCAGATTTCACCTCGCTCGGCTGGCATAAGAAGCACCGTGCTTACAGCGCCACGCCAGAAATACAAAAGTGATGTCTTTACACCAGAGAGGTTCAGAAACTTGTTACGGTTTATAAAAATGGCAAAAACATCATGTGCATTAAATAAAAGAACAATTAGAAACTGTTTAGACCTCCAAAGGGTTCAAAGTTTGAAGGTCTTTAATATTTATGTCCAATAAATAAACCTGAATGATGCAACGAAGAAGAAGCTTGAAGAGTTTTGGGTGTGTAGACGTTAACACCACGTGGTTGTTTTTATAAAAGGTACATTAATAATGACAGGGTGTGATTTATCAGAGCGCCTTTAGTTTGACAGATTAAACGTGGAGACAGCAAATCTCAGGCTGGTGTTGAGTTTGTCCTAAAACTGTGAGGGAACAAGGCAAGTGGAGGACAATGGAACAGGCTGGTCTAAAGGAAAGGGTTTAGTGTTTGGAGCAGGTGGTGTCTGAAAAGGATTTTCTGTGGAAGAAAGGAAAGAATTAAGCAAAGAGCCGACATATAACCCAGGAGAAATATCATCTTTCAGCCGATCCATCTACTGGATACCAGGGTTTTAGCTAATGGCTATTTGGGAATCACCGTAGTGGTGCAGAAATGCAGTTTTATATTTCCAAAACTAGGTCAGTTTGAAATTCATGTCAGATTTAACAAAAAATCACGTGAAAAAGGGAACAAATGTAGTATTTTTGACTCACCACTGGAGCTGGTGGTCAGAAAGTCATGCAAGTCCAAGTCCTTGGAAGCTAAATATAGAACAAAAGCTAGATTCGTTTAGACTTTTACACGTTCTGGTGTCAGCCTAATTTTTTTAAAAGATCCAAGAAGCTTCTACAATCTCATCCTGGTACCGGGTGCTCTTTAACAGCCAACGTGAACAGTTCTGTCTCCAGTCATCCACATCTGAACTCTGACACCGCCGCCACTTCAAGGCTGCGGCTGTGACGGTGGAGAGCGTATGAAGTGAGCCGTCGCAGGAGGCTGCGATAAAGAAGGAATTATGTTTTTTGGCTAATCGGGTGAACTCAGAGTTTCTAAAGTTTTCATCTTTTTTCAAAGTGTCTGTTTGGAACAGGAAGCAAGAAAGCATAAAACCTTCAGAGTATCAAATTAATCTTTTATAATCGATCAACTCTTCCCTTATTTTGAAAAATTCACGTAAACCGCTAGCCAGTCCGTTTGGTCGTTTTAAAGATGAAATTGCAGCTTTTTAGTGGTGCAGAAACTCCCGCCAGTTCCAAGGAGATGTTGGTTTTGAGCCCTAATCGGCCGCCGGCCTCTGGGTCCCCCCGATGCTTCTCCTTCAGTAAATCCATGCATTTAGTATCAAATACAAGCGCCTGATTTACAGCGGAGGAAAGGTCTGCAAGGGGAAAAGAAGAGTTTTCATTTTTTTCATCATCAGTCTTTTGGGTGTTATCCAACTTTCCGAGTGTAATTCATTTACATTTTGTATGTGCACGATGTGCACTGCAGCCACCCAGACGGCATGTGCCATGCAGGACAGAGGACTAGACCAGAAGCTCGTGGACGAGGTTTCACGGCGTAGGAACATGGAGGACTGGAGACGAGGGGGGAAAGGCAGGAGAAAGGGCCATTGAAGGGGGTGAGAGGCGTGCAGGCCAGGCCAGCCGCTGCTCACAGGGAGCTTTCCATCGCAGGCGTCCCCACTCAGCTACCTACACTGTTTATCCTCAACATGAATATCAATGAGGGCCTCCTAAAATACAGCCATTCTTCCCCCCACATGCAGCTTCCACCAGGCCCGAGTGTCAGCCCGCATCGGCTGCACGCGCACGTCCTTGTTCTGCCACAGACCTGTCTTGTCTTGGGTGTGAAAAATCAGCTTGTTGCCCACTGCCCGCCACTCGGCTCCCACACAAACTACATCTGTGCTCTGCGTGTGCGTTGGACTGCGTGCATCATGCGGGCATTGTTCCACATGTAGAGTCTGTCGCTTTGATCGTCCGTTTGTGCTCCCTGCACGCTTACAGTAAATCTGTGTATGCCTTTGTGTTCTGCTATAGAAACGTGCTGCATCACATCCGTGACGTAATGCTTGGTGAGGGGGCGGAGGTGGCCTTTGTGTGTGCTTTCCTTTTGGCTTGAGATAGCCTTTAATAAATCGTGCCCTTGGCAGAGGCCCAGCAGCTAACACAGGGGTGTATAATAAGTTCATTTATTTGTCAACACTGAGCCCACAAGATGAGAACGAGCCTGGCTGTGCATGCTAAAAAGGCAGCGAGGGGGCTGCTGCTGCAGCTATCAAAGGGCCCACCTCTTTGATTCCACATCTCCTTCGGAGCCATCGCACGCAGTTGGCTTTGCAATTGAATATGGCAATATGTTAATGTGCAGGCTGTTCAGTGCCCCTGTTGCCCAGTCCTCTAGTCCATAGGTGGCCCAGGAACAGAGAAATCCATGCAGGAAGGGGGGGTAGAAGGCAGGAGGTGAGGGTCACTGGAGGGCGACTCTTTTCTTCTTCCAAAACCTCACAAGAGTTTGGACGCAGTCTCAAGAGTGATGTGCAGCAGAGACGTCTACCCCTTCACCCCCCCCTCCCTACGCCCACCACCTTTCCCTTGTTTGCTCCCTGTTGCCTTGCCGCCACACCGGCCATCCCTCCCTCTTCATCTTCTTCCCCCTGTCAAGCCCCCCTCTGTCCCCCATGTCCAGCCGCTGCCTTTGTCCAGCACGTCTCTCTGAATTGGTATCAGCAGAGAGGGGATGGATGCTGTGTCTGTCAGTTGGGTGAAATGAGGTGATGACTCTGGACAATGGAGTCACACTCTCCTGCCTTCCCTCTCACAGGCCCGCCACTCCATTAATATGCTAAAAGATAGGAGGGCCGCCAATGCAAGCCTCTGCCTGTTGTAGCAACAAAGACCGGGGCATGTGCTCCATTCACGGCGCTTTTGTAGCCGGCCATGTGGTCGCCAAGAGAAAGGTAGAAGTTGAGCAAGACATAAAGAGGGAAAGTAGTGTGTGTGTGTGTGTGTGTGTGTGTGTGTGTGTGTGTGTGTGTGTGTGTGTGTGTGTGTGTGTCTCCTTCGCCCTCTCCCTCCCTCACTGTATGCCAGTGTCCTTGCCTTCTCGGGCTTCTGGCGCGTTCACAAGCTGTCTCATTTGCATTATGAATGACAGCGAGGGGAGCTAACAAGGTTATTGGTCTTTGAGACGCGCGCCTGTGACCACACGTGGAAAAAAGGACCTACAGCAGTGCGCGTTGGCAAAGGCACTGAGCCTCTTTATTCCTCCTTTTCCAAGCGCTATGGGGCTTTTTTCAGCGAGCACACGATTTACTCGGAGATGGAATAAAAGGGGCCGGGCGGGGGAGAGTGGGGCTGGATTGGGGAGCGGGTGAGGGAGGTTGCTTTTCAGCTCCTTTACAAGCCAAGTTAACCCTCATTATCCAGGCCCCTGGTCATTAGAGTGCTGTGTTCAGAACCAGTGCAATGGAAGGGCTTTTTATTGGCTGACTGCAAGATTACTGAATCATATTGTCTCGGGGTGGGATGCACTGTATCTGCGCTCTTTCACAAACCGCACCAGGTGCTGCTGAAAGGTTAACTATTCATCAAGTTAACCAAAGATTTGGACGACTTTTTTTACTAAGCGGAAACAGTTTTTGAAAATTCAAACAAGAAAACTAATTTAACTCCTTTGTGTTTCTTCCTGCACCAGATTTTAGATTTGCCATGTACCCCCCCTCCATGATCGCCACAGGAAGTGTGGGGGCAGCGATCTGCGGCCTACAGCTGGATTCGGCCGACCACTCACAGTGGGGCGACAGCCTGACAGACCTGCTGGCTAAGATCACCAACACAGAAGTGGTAAGTTTCCAGGGATCATCGTCGTTTCAGACTCGTTCTGTTCGTGTGCAGAAACCGAGTCCGGGTCCCAGCATGGTCTCGGTAGATTTCAAAGAAACTTGACTTTTGTAAACTTATGGGGGGTGTTTCTGAATAATGCTTGGATGCAGCAGGTAGATGTAGCATCTTTGACACCGGTGAGGCCTTCCTTCACTGGTGTTTGCCAAAGTGCAACTATTACAATAGCTGCTTTTAGCATTCCTACAGAAATGCCACAAATAACTCATCTCACAGCAGTTTGGACAGACTTGGTTTTCCTTCCAAACACGATATATTTATTGTAAAACACCACATGCTTGGTAGGGTTGCACATTTGCAACACAAAAGCGGAAATGTTAGAACATCTCTGTGATTTGGCTTCCCAAAAGAACCTGCTCATGTGCCAATAACCGCCACCAGAAGTGGCTTCAGCAAAAGAAATGCCTAACAGGGCTTCATGCCCTTTGCTTTTGCTGCACCCTGGACTTGAAGGTGACATCAGCCCAGTTTGGTTGTTTATAACACCCTCATGTAAAGAGTCCTCTAAATCAAGCTGGCGTTGGGCCATTTACTTCATGCTCTGTCACCAACAAGACTGGCCAGGCTGTTGCGTGGCTGTCTGTGTGGAGCGAGGTGGCTGAGTTAAGTCCAAACACACGCAGGGCCCCCGCTGACTTAAGGATGCCTGGCTTTCATCACACTGATGGTCCAGGGCTTCAGCTCGCTGCAGCAGGGGCGGATAGGTGGGCAGAGCGGTAGAAGATGCAGAAAACGATGCTGTGAGACGAAAAGTGAAGCTCTTTATCCGTCTCTGCTGGGAAATTAGCCATCTGACCCATGCAGACTGCTCAGGAGCAAGCAGGCAGCCACAGAAAAGCGCTCGGGGAGCAGCTCCGGTTCTGAAGCCATGGACTTGGCAGAGGCGCTTGCTATACCAAACATGATGAAAAAGGCTTTTGGTTAGCAACAGCAGACTTAATACAAACAGAGTTGGTGTGTGCACAGTGCATCAGGGAGCAGAGCCCCGGCATCAGCCATGTTGAACGCAGTCCCAACAGGTGGGGGGAGAGGGCCGCTGATGTGTGAAAAGGAAACAGGGGGGGTGTTGCGCCTCCTCATGCGACAATCAGACCTGTCTCATCCCTTCCCATGTTCCATAATGCATCACGGCTGGAAAGCGTGGCTCCCCCTGGTGCGAGTTGAGTGAAGTCTCACATAGCTGTTGAGGAAAAACAAATATCTGGCCTCGGCTGCACAGGGCCTCAGTGTGTTTAGGTTGTAGGGTCTGAGACTTGGGTGGGGAGGACATTAAGTCACTCTGTCTGTGTGATTGGCTTCTTGCATTCCTGGATAGAGGCAAGTCACGGCTTGCAGTAAACACAGGAGGCAGAGCGGGGGGCATCCTCCCCAGCTGAACTTACAGGAGAGGTTTAACTGATGCAAACTAAAGCTAACTCTTTCTGTTTGACTTTACCACCTAAACCAGTAAAGAAAACATCTCAGATGTGAATGTTGAGTCACCTCAGCCTCAGCGCCGTCCAAGCCTTAGAGCATGTAGAGTGGTGAGATGGCAGAACTACGTCTTAGCCAGGCAAAACACGAGGCACAAGCAGGCTCCGCCAACCCCTGCAGCCAGCCACACACACACACACACACACACACACACACACACACACACACACACACACACACACACACACACACACACACACACACACACACACACACACACACACACACACACACACACCACACACACACACACACACACACACACACACACACACACACACACACACACACACACACACACACACCCCGGCATCAGTGGTATCCAGAAGCTGTGGTTTTCCAGTGGAAATGCGATAGGGCCGAGTCACCATCTTGGGTCGCCGGGAGAATGCAAGTTGCTTCATACACACACACACGCACGCACGCACACACACACACACACCTGGTGTGGCCAAAGGACGAGCAGATGAGGTTTTGTGTCATAATGTGCAAAAATCAGTGCTAATGATTTAAGGGGCAGAAGAGGTCTGTTGCGTTGTCTCTAGGGATGGGTACGGAATTCGGTACTTTTTAAGGTACCGACCGAATTCCATAGTACCGACCGAGCACCGATTCACGTCATTTCAAACGGTGCCTCGTTTCGGTACCCGTTCTTCATAACGAGAACTTGCCTAGACAGCTGCGCATGCGCAAGAGCGTTATGTCGTCGCTGCGAGCGAGTTGTAAACAGAGCAGCACGGTAGAAAGAACGCACGCTAACGCTTGGGTCCACTTCACTAAATGTGATGGGTAACTGGGTGATGATGAAACCAGCGACAACGATCTAAATGAGACGTCCTCATCTTAATCTGCTCCGGTAGGTAAATAAAATGTTTAAGATAACGTTAGCTTGATATGTTAGCTTTCGCTTCGCTAATGGTGCGTTCGCTTTCTCCTCGGAAATCCGAATTCCCGACTAGAGGAACATGAACGCGCTCTAAAGTTTGGCTTCACTTTACTAAATGCGACGGGTGATTGGGTGAAGATGAAACCAGCGACAACGATCTAAGTGTGAGGCATCATCGTTTTAATCTGCTCCAGCAGCTAAATAAACTGTTTAAGATAGCGTTAGCTTGATATGTTAGCTTCCATTGTTATCAGCTAATGGTGCGTTCGCTTTCTCCTCGGAAATTCTAACTTCCCAGTAGGAAAAATCAAATGAAAAAGGACGGCAAAAGGAATGAAGATACACAGTAAATTTAGTTCACAGTAAAGATGTTTGCTTCAGTTTAATTATCAGCTTATAAAACTACAAGGACGATGTTAAAATACAAACAGTTGTATGTTATTTATCGTGATATTTATCAAATATTGTTATATACTGAGAAAAATATATATTTAATTATAAAAGAGAATTAAAATAATAAACACTCAAAAGTATCGAAAATCGGTACCGTTAAGTACCGGTATCGATTCCTAGGTACTGGCAATTAGTACCGGATCGATTCAAATGTCAAAGGTACCCATCCCTAGTTGTCTCAGCAGCAACGTTTGCAGAGTTTAGACCCAGAGCAGCGTGTTGGCTGAAGTGTGGAGCTTCTGTTTAAAAAAACCATCTTGATTGATGACAACAGGATGTGGAGGTTAGGGAAGTGCAAGGGTTTCAGACCACCACTTCCTACATTTTGTTGTTTTCTCTCATTCAAAGATTTTTTCTGTCAGTCCGACTCGGTGAGACACCGGAAACACATTTTCCCATTTCTACTTACGTTCCTGTTTGTGCGTCTTTTTCTCACACTCTCCTCTGTGATCGCCTCGAGCCGCAACACTTGTCACTCAAACACGTTAATCCGTGAGCTCACCTCTGCTGCTGCTGCCGGTAGCCGTTCCTGCTAAGGAAGACGAAAAGTCACATTTTCTTGTGCAGCTTGTGGAGACTCTAGTCGTGTGGCGTCTCTGCTTTTCCAGCGTCAATCCTCCAGTATTTTGTTTTGAGACTCTCTGGAGTTCTGTTTGTTTCGGCTGTCTGACCAGAGTTCCTAACACCGTCTTTTGTGGTGAAGTCAGCAGTTAAAACACATTCCTTGGCTTCACACATTTCTTCCTTTTGGTTTTGTCTGTCTGCACGACTTCCCCCGCCTGCCAGTGTCACAAAGGCCGCCCAGGGATAACGTGCACGCTTTGATTTCCCAGAATGACACTCGATGGAGAATGATGCGTGTTTGAGCCCGGGCCAGTACAGGGCTATGGCTACAAGGGGAAGAGGTGGTGACGAGTTTTCTGATTTCAAGCAGCATAATAAAATGCAATGCTGCGCCTCATGTGGCAAATTTATTCAGGCCTGGTGGCCACCACGTTGTCCAATACCTTGAGCTCCTCTGAAATCGGCTCTGATGTTTCCAGTAGTCACACACTGAAGTCATTAAAGGTTCTCGAATAAAGCCCATGGGGCTTGGCACGGGATCCCAACTGCAGCGCTTTCAGGCAGCAAAGACTCGGGGAGAACGTCTTTTAGGAAGTGAAGATATGCATTCTTGTGGTGAGGCACCGGCGGTTCCTTTTCATGTTCTGCGCTGCACTTAATTTTCTCACAGGATTTGGGATTTTACGACCAATAGGGCTCATGTCGGTGGGAAGATTTGGTACATGTGTGCATGCACCTCTCATGTTAGCAGCTAACATCTTGAGACGTTCAAGGAGCGAAAGCTGCTCAGGTTTCTTCCACGGAAGATCCATTCATGAAGGGAATTTTGTCCCAAAGTCATGAAGTGCAGATCCGTCGGACCTCCTCTGGAGCGACAAATGGTTGAGGGTTGCACCAAATTCTCTTAATGTACTGAATGCGTAACTAACTGAGGGATCGGCTGCTTTGTATTTGAACATATACGTTACTAGATTCCCATATTTTCCTGTTTTGCCCTTAAATCTCAAACAAAGCGCTCTCCACCGTTTCCCGCTGTTAAAAGCTGCCTTTGACTTCTTTTTGACAAAGTTTATGTTTTACCCCGTAAGATGTCGTGCCCTTTGACACCTGAACTTTTGCTACTCAGTCCTTACAAGCATTTCTGATGAGAGCGAGAGGGAGGGAGGGAGCTCGGTTCATCGGGGTCCAGCGGCACCAGAGGCTAACACACATGCTCAAACTGTGGCCCATCAGGTTTAGATTAGCTGTAAATTTCTAAAGAATGTTTCCTTGCTCCTCCAGCGCTACACTTTTCCCATCTTCCAGTCCCCATCCCCGCACAGACGCCTGGTGCTTTAAGGCAGGGGGTCATGCATGTGTGTGCATGTGTGGAGCTGAGAGCAGCTTGGATGTAATGTTTCAGATTTCACCACCAGAGGGCAGTGTTGACTCCAACGTGACTCTGGACAGGACTATTGCACCGGCGTCCTCTTACGCCTGGGCTTCTTTAATGACCATCATTGCTGTTTCTTCCCTTAAAACTGTTTGACCTCTCCGTGACACGCTTGCTAACAACCCATTCAGAGCTCCTCTAACTCCGCGGCCTCTCCGGAGGGTTGCTCTCTCTTCCTGCTCTGCGCCGTGCCCTCTCTCAACCCTCCATCAGAGCTAGGATATGAGGCCTCGGTGCTGCTGAGGGCCTCGTCTCCCAGGTGGATTCTCAGATTGCCACGGCGGCCTTTGATGGTGAAAGCCGAGGAGTTCAGGTCTCAGATGGATCCCCTGCAGGCGGGCAGGCACACAGACTGGCTCTCATTAAAAAAGCACCACCTTTGTGTTCCCACAGGAGGTGGATGTAATTAACATAGCTTTAGTACTACCTGTGTTTTCAGCTGCTGTTGTCAAGGCTACTTCTGTGTGTGTGCGTGTGTGCGTGCACGTGCGTGTTAGGGAACGACGATGGGGGAGGGAGCAGCATGCACTGGTATGTCTGTGCACATGGAAGCACATGCATGGGGTGGGAATCAGTGCACAACCCCGGTGGGCTGATGTAATGCTCGTCTAGCCTCTGTCTGTTTATTCTTTGAAGACAGAGTGTAGAAAACTGGAGATTAAAGAGTAAAAGGAAAATTCTGCAAAGCCCAAAGTTTGTCATTTAGTGACTTTAGGGAGCTCTGTGGATATTATCAGATGTTTTAAAGCATTCACATGACAGAAATAGAAAGTTTCTGCAGTTGACTGAAGTGTAAGCAACACTCCCACCCCCATAAAGCGTCCTAAAATGGATCAAATGTCATTTTGTGTCACAGGATGTTCTGAAAGAGTGCCAGGAGCAGATCGAGCGTGTGCTGGAGAGCAGCCTCCGTGAAGGGCGGCAGCAGCAGCAGCAGCAGCAGACTCAGAGGGGCCCCAGTGGGAAAGGCCTGGACGAGCTGGACCAGTCCTCCACCCCGACAGACGTCCGGGATGTCAACTTGTGAACCAGCAGAGGGCGCCGCTGCACGGGATTTACAAAAAATATAAAAAGCAAAAAAAAGCATTATGAAAAAATAACTTCAGTTTTCTTTAAAAGCAGAAAAAAAGAAGAAAAGAACAAAAATATTAAAAACACAAGCCCTTTAAAAGAAAAAGGACCATGCTTGCTAGATTTTTGTAGAATTTTCAAGTAAAAAAAAACACCTGCACATGTTTCTATGTAGTCTAAAAGCAACAAGTCTGATGAAGCGCTGTGCTGCCTTGGATTCACAGAAGGGAAGCCGATCATATTTGTTCTGCCTTTGATTGTACAGGATGAGCTGTTATTGGTGAAGTTCTGGAAACGGTTAAGAAGCTGCATACGCAGTGGCGCTCACGTGTTTCTTCCTCTTGGTGTAAAATGGTGTTAAAGTCACGGCTGGTGCGAAGAGGACGTGCGTTCGAGCTCCTCGGGCGCTCAGCCAGAGGAAGCTGAGAGAGCGGCGTGGTGAACGTTGTGTCCCGTTTCCAGGGAGGATGAGGATGATAATTAGTATGTTTAGTGATTACTAATATTATCATTGGGCACATTTTAGAACTGAGTAATCAATAAGCTCCTTTAGTCAGGCTGCTTGTGTGCGTCGGTTTGTGAACGCGTGTGTTGCTGATGACGTTTGTGTGTGACGTGTGGATGCAGTCCAGTGTGCGGCCTACGGCGACTGGCGCCTGAGCAAAGTTCACTGTGAAAAGACCAGAGAACGACTCGAGGCGACACGTTCACTTGGTCAATCCTCAGAAAGGGGTACCTGCTAAATCACTGCCGTTGTTGTTCATCATCAGTCACGCTAACGGGACGGGGAGAGGACGATGTCGCCGAAGGGCTTACCCGTAGAGACCCACATGTGCCTCAAAGGATTCTGAGGTAGAAAACTGCCATCGGTGCAGCGGAATATCATGAATACTTTCCATCCATCTACGTTCTTCCTCTCATCGTCACGGAGTCGCCAAGAGTCCGAGTGAAGCTGTCGACGTCTCCGTTTGTACACGTGCAAACTTGAGAGAACAGTGAAGGTTTTAAGCCAAACTCCTTCGCATTTCTAAAGCAAGGAGGAGAGGAGGTGGAGGTGGGAGCAGGAGGAGTCACTGTGGTCGCACTGGGAGGGTTTCAGTGGTGCAGGATCATGCTGCTGTGTAGGAGATGGCTGGAAGGAGATAGAAAAGTCATTAAAGCCTCGTTAGAAACTTTGACATCAGCATGTTGGGGTGCAATTAAATGTTTGTAGTGGATGTTTAAAGTAAAATTATCAGACAAACAAAATAGTTCCGGGTTTCCGTAGATCTGGAGACTTGATGAGGATCTGAGTCTGCATGCTAGCAGATCACGTAAGGATCAACTTTTATTATGGGGGGGGTGGGGTTAGAGGAGGACATGGTTAGAGGAGGATAATTTACTGTCAATGCATCTGGAGTCCCATTTAGGGTTCGTTCCAGCTCCCCAATTTCAATGGTAAAGCACTTTGAGGACATGCTCCCTAGGAGATGAGTCGAATAAAATGTTAGACAGTGATTGGGTGTCTTTTTCATTAGCCTTTCCTTTGGTTTGCTCTGTAGGGCTGGTTTCCCAAACATCAAATATTCCCATAAAAAACGGACATTCCGATAACCATAAACATAAAATACATTCCTGTTCAGGCAAATTCCAACGAAACGGGCCGTAAAGTCAAATAATGCTAACAAGAGTTGGACGATATTCAGACGGAGACGTAATTCCTGGAGTTCATTTGATTTTTTTTAGGTTTTTTTACTTGAATTTTAACTATTTATCTGTATCACAGCCACAGAGAGCCACGCAGGGCAGCGGTGAGCAACAGACGGGGTGGTTGGAGCATCCAGTATTTGCACAAGATGTTTGCAAAGTTCGGACACCACACAGGCTTCATGCAAAACCACCTTACTTGATGCGCGGTGCGGTTTTGTTGTTGTTCGGTGCCGGCTTGTGTGAGGACGATTCATCCGTCTCCTGTGAGCTTTGCTGCTTTGAATCATCTAAAGGGGCTCCTCGGCCAGGCGGACGTCAACACAACGGCGTTGATGTTGCCGTCGTGTCCGTAGACGTAACCTTCTAGGTGGGGTTTCTGTTGTTTCTGTTGTGATCGTATGTGTTTGCTGAGCGTACGTTGAACGGTCTGCAAAGAAAATGTGGGGATCTGATGTTTTTTCAGTGAAACTGAACAATTCAAAACTGCCAAAACATCCCCAGCTGTTGTGACCCCGTCGTTTTGCCTGTTTTTACCCGACGTAAGCTCTCTTCCAAACTTTGTTGTGATTTTTTTTTCCTGCAATTGATTGTTGCATGTGTTTTATTGACACCACAGATCTTGTTAGATTTATTTTTGGGGTTGCCAGACCCACAAGAAGGGTTTGTAGGATTTAGAGAAAACTGTATTCCAAAGTAAAGAGAGGACCGAGGAGGAGGGGGGGGTGGTGTGAAGACATCAACAAAAAAGTGTCAATATTTTATTGTCTTTTTGCGCTGCTAAAAGCTATGAATTTGTTTCATTTATACAAAAAAATAACATTACCTAGTCGTGATGTGTCACCTGTGTGCTGCTATTTTATAAACATTTGTATTATAATAAAGTTATTTTACTGCTTAAGAGATACATTCAAAGTAGATGGTGATAGAAGAACATGAAATAAGTATTGGACTGGAAATGTTCCTTGTACAGTGATAGATAGCATGTTTCTTTTTCCCTTTTTTGTTATCGGTTTTTGCTGATCTTCTTCTGTCACACTCTGCATGTGGTAATTCCCACACCTCAGGATTACTGGACAACACATCACAAACCCAATGCATATACCTCTGCAGTACGGGAGCCTGGAATGGAAGAGAAGGACTCCACTGAGAGTCGGGGGAAGAAAAAACAATTTCCCGCTGTTTCGGTGGGGCAACAACTTCCTCGTTGAGATGGAAAACAGGAAATGTCCAAGGCTTCCAATTGGACTCAAACCATGTTGGAGGAAAGGGGGCGGGGGGGGGGGGGCGCAATTGCATTGTTCCATTAAGATTTTCTGATTGGTTCTGGTTAGTTCGAGTGTGAGTTTGTGTTCATGATGGTGCTACATCTGCATTGTGGTGCGCTAGAAGAGGGAAAGCCTTTCTCGTGGTGGCCAAAGTACAGTTTCTGCTTTACACAGTCAGTGCTGTTAAATATGGATTCTGTATGTGAGAAAGGTCCCATCCAGTCATAAATATTATAATATCTGGAAGTTTCAGTAGTGCAGATTTCCCCTGGAGCCCCCCCGCCCACCATAACTCATATCTCATGTACCTCAAGTGTCTGTTGCACAACTTCTGCTCAATAAACTTCTGCTTTAAAGGGTGTGACATCACATCAGCTCACTACTTCCTGTGCCTTTATTCTTTTCAGCTGAGTCTAATTGCATTAATACGTCTAGTGTGTGAGTACTTCTACGAGTCCGATAGAACGGTTCCCGCTGGATCACTGAAAACGGTCAGCCGTGCTAAAGGCGGGGGAATGAATGGAGTATTCGCTGCTTTGATGCCAGCACACTCCTGATTTCAATCCAGTTTTCAGAAAGTGTTCCTAAAGTACATTTTATTTGACGCAAGGAAAGCCAGTTTTTATTCTAACAAATGAGAAATTGTTGTTTCTTGCAATCTAAAAAATGTAAACTCCTGCTATCAAGTGAAGTGGTATTGGTCACCTTCTTGTGAGTTGATCCTGCAGCTTCCTGTTTGACTCAAACTTTAAAACTCTCCATAGTTGAAAAGTAGAATCCAAGATATTATGTGTTTTGTCAGCAGCTGGCGAAAAGTAACAGCTGCAGGAAATGTCTGAATCAGAAAAGACACCACAAAATATCAAAATAACAGAAAACACTAACTTTTCACAACTTAAATGTAAACTCAGTCCAACGGTAGATGGCTGAGTTGTTCAGTCATGAATCTGAAGTACGGCTTCAACAACAGCTCCAGATATTCGTGTTCAAAAGTTGCATCTAAAGCAGTGAAAGGACGTGATGTTAATGGCTTAACAAGAAAAACAATAAAACCGAAAAGGAAAATATTTAAGAAGAAAAATTACATGAAATGTGGAAGTTTTGGTGAAATTTACCATTTTAAATGTTATTGGGGGAAAAATAAACAGCACAGAAAAGTTATTCCAATGAAAATGGTTATTTTCCTCAAAATTGCATTTGATATACATTTTTATTACTAAATATTAATTTATGTTTAAAATTTCTAATATTCTTTAATCGCCAGATTAAACATAATGTTGCCTTTAGTCATTAAGACTGATTCAGTAATAAGAGTGTAGAGAGGCAGAAACGGCGTCAGCCTTTAAATCTGAACGATGACGCGATGCGTCACCGTGACGTTTGCAGGTTTGCAGCTGGTGTTTTTGCGCAGACGCACCTGACGTCCGACCGCAGCATGAAGGCGCTAACGCTCGCGCTGACGCTCGTCAGGCAGTAAGTTGGTTTAACTATTCAAGCTGCGTTTGCTGCGGTATTTGTCTCAATCTCCAGATGCATGCTGTAGTTTTATACAAGTCCGTAGTTAAAATCCCGTCACCGTTTAGCGTGGAGCTCAGCCACGAAGTCAAAGTTTATGTGTAACCGTATCCGTGTAACACACAAGGGACTGGAGAGAGCATTTAATCATGTCTTAATACGGCCAGCAGGTAAAAGAAACCCAGGTTCTGCTTCCAGTATTAAAGCCGGGGTTAGTTTCTCTGTGATGGAAACGCCTGTTGTAATGAGCGAGGCTGCAATTCACCCAATGGCCACCAAATGGCAGCACTAAGCTGCAATAGAATAGAATAGAATAGACTTTATTGATCCCACAGTGGGGAAATTCGCTTGTTACAGCAGCATCAACACTTAAGAGAATAAGTTGAAAAATAACAAAGGTACATGTATTTATACACATGAGCAGTAATCTAGTATTATAACCTTCGGCTACTAAAAACCATGAATATAAAATTAAACTTGGGTTCCAACACTATGCAACATACTGCAAGAGACACGGACATGCTGTGTGGATCTGGTATTACACGAGTATCGAACACATACTGAGTATTGTGTACCAGGATAAGTTTAAAGTGAGCGGAGGGGTTGAGTGAGCTACGGTAGCGTTCTGTTTTACATCTGAGCTGCCTCACGCTGCCTCTGTTAGTTGATTTGTTTATTTTTTCCTTCAGCCGTGTTACGTTTACACCAACTCACTTTCAAGGTTCAAGGTTGTCTTTATCAATCCCCGAGGGGGAAATTGAATTGCCTTGGACAAGTAAACAACAACAACAACATGCACATACACACAACAAAACATTCACTGGACACTGCTGTAAGCCACAACCATGATAGGAATATCAAATATACGATCATACGAAATGCTCGTTGTAAAAACGCACGGCAGCAGGAATAAAAGAGTTCCTAAAACGTTCAGTGGGGTTAACATTCGCCCACTAAAAGAGCTCCCGAGATCCTTAAAACCTGATGAAGGGGTGATCCTCCAGAGACATAACTGTCTTAAGTTTACTCCTCATCCTTTTGTTGATGATCATGTCAAATGAGTCCAAGCGTTGCCCAACCACTGAGCCAGATTTCTTGATCATTGTGTTGATCCTGTTTTTGTCGTCAGCAGTGAGGCTCCTGCCCCAACACAACAGCATAAAACACACTGGCCATAATCCCCTGATAACACACATTCAAGAGCCGCCTACTTTGGGACAGCAGTAGCTCAGGTGGTAGAGCGGGTTGCCTCATGATCGGAGGGTCATGGGTTCGATTCCAGCTCCCGCCAGGGGTATCCTGCTGTTGTGTCCTTGGGCAAGACACTTCACCCAACTTGCCTGTGCTGGTGGTGGTCAGAGGGGTCGGCGGCGCCAAATGGCGGCCTCTCCTCTGTCAGACCTCCCCAGGGTGGCTGTGGCTACAAGTAGCTTACCATCACTAGCAGTGTGTGAATGTGAGAGTGTGTGAAAGCCTCTTTGGGTGTCAAGAAAAGCGCTATATAAGTTCAATGCATTATTATTATTGTTATTATTATTATTATTATTATTATTATTATTATTATTATTATTATTACTTGTATCAAAGGATCTTTATCTGTTATAACCTATAACACCATATTGAACTGAGGAAACTTTTAAAGCATTAAATGATGTCTAACTAATACACGTAATTAGGAGAAACCAGGTTTTTTGTGTAATAAATATTTTCTGATTTATTATTGAACGGAAATCAGTACTATGTATTTTTGGTAAACTGCAATGCGCAATAATGCCCACCAGGTGGCAGCACTAAGTTGTGCTGACTTTTATAAAATACTTTGATTGATTTGTTTATTCAGAATTTTCACCATGAGGACCACGTTAAGCTTTGAACAATGTTTTATGTGAAAATGTTACTAGAAAACAGGTTTCATGTCCGGTATTTATGTATTTACCAATACCAATACCAATTTTATTTACAGGTGCTGGCCAGTAAATTAGAATATCATCAAAAGGTTGAAAATATTTCAGTAATTCCATTCAAAACGTGAAACTTGTACATTATATTCATGCAATGCACACAGACCAATGTATTTCCAATGTTCATTACATTTAAATTTGATATTTATAGGTGACAACCAATGAAAACATCAAATCTGGTATCTCAGAAAATTAGAATATTCTAAAGGCCAATGAAAAAATGTTTGTTTCTCTAATGTTGGCCAACTGAAAAGAATGATCATGAAAAGAATGTGCATGTATAGCACTCAATACTTAGTCGGGGCTCCTTTTGCCTCAATAACTGCAGTAATGCGGCGTGGCATGGACTCGATCAGTCTGTGGCACTGCTCAGGTGTTATGAGAGCCCAGGTTGCTCTGATAGTCGTCTTCAGCTCCTCTGCATTGTTGGGTCTAGCGTATTGCATCCTCCGCTTCACAATACCCCATAGATTTTCTATGGGGTTAAGGTCAGGCGAGTTTGCTGGCCAATCAAGGACAGGGATACCATGGTCCTTGAACCAGGTGCTGGTGGTTTTGGCACTGTGTGCAGGTGCCAAGTCCTGTTGAAAGGTGAAGTCTGCATCCCCATAAAGTTGGTTAGCAGCAGGAAGCATGAAGTGCTCTAAAACTTCCTGGTAGACGGCTGCATTGACCCTGGACCTCAGGAAACAGAGTGGGCCAACACCGGCAGATGACATGGCACCCCACACCATCACTGACGGTGGAAACTTTACACTGGACCTCATGCAACGTGGATTCTGTGCTTCTCCGCTCTTCCTCCAGACTCTGGGTCCTTGATTTCCAAAGGAAATGCAGAACTTGCTTTCATCAGAAAACATAACTTTGGACCACTCAGCATCAGTCCAGTCCTTTTTGTCCTTGGCCCAGGCGAGACGCTTCTTGCGCTGTTTCTTGTTCAAGAGTGGCTTGACACACGGAATGCGACACCTGAATCCCATGTCTTTCATGAGTCTCCTCGTGGTGGTTCTTGAAGCGCTGACTCCAGCTGCAGTCCACTCTTTGTGGATCTCCCCCACATTTTTGAATGGGTTTGTCGTCACAATTCTCTGCAGGGTGCGGTTATCCCTAGAGCTTGTACACTTTTTTCTACCACATTTTTTCCGTCCCTTCGCCTGTCTGTTAATGTGCTTGGACACAGAGCTCTGCGAACAGCCAGCTTCTTTAGCAATCACCTTTTGTGTCTTGCCCTCCTTGTGCAAGGTGTCAATGATTGTCTTTTGGACAGCTGTTAAGTCAGAAGTCTTCCCCATGATTGTGGTGCCTTCAAAACAAGACTGAGGGACCTTTTAAAGGCCTTTGCAGGTGTTTTGAGTAAATCAGCTGATTAGAGTGGCAGCAGGTGTCTTCTATATTCAGCCTTTTCAGAATATTCTAATTTTTTGAGATACCAAATTTGGAGTTTTCATTAGTTGTCACTTATGAATATCAAATTTAAATGTAATGAACATTGGAAATACATTGGTCTGTGTGCATTGCATGAATATAATGTACAAGTTTCACATTTTGAATGGAATTACTGAAATATTTTCAACCTTTTGATGATATTCTAATTTACTGGCCAGCACCTGTATAAAGCGCATTCAACAAGGCATTACAACCAAACAAGGCGCTGTACACTAAAAATGTTAGTTAATTAAATCGGTGTCAGACCGTCATGTAGAACAGAGATAAAAGATAAAAAGGAAAAACAACAAAATTCCTAAAACTAAAACTGTTTTTATCATGTTTTCATGACACATTCTAATGTATGATATTTTTATCATGTTTTCATGACACATACTAATGTATGATATTTTTATCATGTTTTCATGACACATACTAATGTATGATGTTTTTATCATGTTTTCATGACACATACTAATGTATGATGTTTTTATCATGTTTTCATGACACATACTAATGTATGATATTTTTATCATGTTTTCATGACACATAATAATGTATGATGTTTTTATCATGTTTTCATGACACATACTAATGTATGATGTTTTTATCATGTTTTCATGACACATACTAATGTATGATATTTTTATCATGTTTTCATGACACATACTAATGTATGATGTTTTTATCATGTTTTCATGACACATACTAATGTATGATGTTTTTATCATGTTTTCATGACACATACTAATGTATGATATTTTTATCATGTTTTCATGACACATACTAATGTATGATATTTTTATCATGTTTTCATGACACATAATAATGTATGATGTTTTTATCATGTTTTCATGACACATACTAATGTATGATGTTTTTATCATGTTTTCATGACACATAATAATGTATGATGTTTTTATCATGTTTTCATGACACATAATAATGTATGATGTTTTTATTATGTTTTCATGACACATACTAATGTATGATGTTTTTATCATGTTTTCATGACACATAATAATGTATGATGTTTTTATTATGTTTTCATGACACATAATAATGTATGATGTTTTTATTATGTTTTCATGACACATACTAATGTATGATATTTTTATAATATTTTCATGACACATTCTAATGTATGATGTTTTTATCATGTTTTCATGACACATTCTAATGTATGATGTTTTTATCATGTTTTCATGACACATACTAATGTATGATATTTTTATCATGTTTTCATGACACATTCTAATGTATGGTGTTTTTATCATGTTTTCATGACACATACTAATGTATGATATTTTTATCATGTTTTCATGACACATACTAATGTATGATATTTTTATCATGTTTTCATGACACATACTAATGTATGATATTTTTATCATGTTTTCATGACACATACTAATGTATGATGTATTTATCATGTTTTCATGACACATTCTAATGTATGATGTTTTTATCATGTTTTCATGACACATACTAATGTATGATATTTTGATAATATTTTCATGACACATTCTAATGTATGATGTTTTTATCATGTTTTCATGACACATTCTAATG